TCAGCCCCCAATGGGGTTGATGGGGGCTGAAAATCAGCCCCTATCAGGGCTGATAATCAACCCCATTGGGGGCTGATTTTCAGCCCCCAATGGGGCTGATGGGGGCTGATTTAAAGCCCCCATTGGGGCTGATAATCGGCCCCCAATGGGGCTGATGGGAACTGAAAATCAGCCCCCATTGGGGCTGATAATCGGCCCTCAATAGGGCCGATGGGGGCTGAAAATCAGCCCCCATTGGGGCTGATAATCGGCCCCCAATGGGTTGGATGGGGGCTGAAAATCAGCCCCCATAAGGGCTGATAATCAGCTCCATTGGGGGCTGATGGGGGCTGATTTTCAGCCCCCCATTAGGGGCCTCCCAGGCCAGCCCCAATGGGAGGCCCGCATGGGCTGATGGGAGCTAATTTTCAGCCCCCGTTGGGGCTGATTTTCAGCCCCCATTGGGGGCCTCCCAGGCCAGCCCCAAAAGGAGGCCCCCAGGGGCTGATTCAACCTCCATTGGGGCCCTCCCAGCCAACCCCAAAGGGAGGCCCCCAGGGGCTGATTCAGCCCCAACGGGGGGCCTCCCAAGGGCTGATACAGCCCCAATGGGAGGCCCCCAGGGGCTGTATCAGCCCCAATGGAGGCCTCCAGGGGAAAAAGAAAAAAAAAGGGAAAAAAACCAGATCAGATAAAGCATAGGATAGAAAAACAAACACCAAATCAAACAGAAAACAGCGACCGATTTGGTTGAATATAGCAAATCAAACGGCGAGACAAAGGAAAAGAAAAATAAAAAAATAAAAAAAACAAATTGCTCAACCAAATCGATCAGAAAATCGAACACGTTCAAACATTTTTGGCTAGGGGCATACCTCGGTGAGAAAACGAAGAACGGCGCTGATTGGGCAACAAGAGACCGGAGGAGTTCAGGCGAACGGAGGTGCTCCGGTGAGAAGCAAACGGCGCGACTCTTGGGCGAGAAGAACGCGGGGCTCGGCCGGGAAGAAGAGATCGGCTGAAGAAGGGAAGGGAAGAAGGAAGAAGAGCTCGGCTGAAGGGGAAGAAAAAATCGAAGAAGGAGAAACGGGGGAGGACGATCGAGGAAGAAAGAAGGAAACCAAAAATGAAAACAAGAAAATGAAAACGGATTTTTTCCGTTTTCAAAATTCCGGAAAACGACAAAAATATTTTTGTTTTTGCTTTCTAACACAAACTTCGCCAAACACGTTTTTTAGCTCCGTTTTCAATTTTTTGTTTCGAAAAATGTGAGAAATGAAAACGGAAATTCTAACAAACATGCCCATTAGTTATTGTAAAAAATAGTTCAAATCCATGAGTTTTTGGACATCCCCAAATTTGCTCAATTTGAACCTATATGCATTAGTAAAAAGCAAACTAAGGAGTCCAATATACATTACTTTTTTTTTTAACCTATATTCATACATTATTCCCAGTTTAAATTTATAAGTTATCTACCTATGATGTTTAGAACCACAATTTAAATACCAATGTTTATATTTGCAGTTTAAACATAAGTAGTTAAGATCGCCATAATTCCAACATTTTAACAAAACGAAGGAAGTTATTTGTTTGTTTATTTATCGTGCAATCTACGGCCAAAAAAGAAAAAAAAAAAAAAAGAAGAAAAAAGACTCCATCATCTCAAAGAAAGAAAAGAAGGAAAAAAAAAAGAATTTCTTTTGATAGGATTAGAAAAATAAAATAACGATAATTCTTAATTTCGGTAGTAGATAAATATAAAAAATATGTTTTTCATCTAATGTATTTGACCCTATATATTGACCAAAAATTGACGCGTATTGACAGAAAAATCTTATCGGATAAATGCAAATAAAAAATAAGAAAATAATAACAAAGAGAGTTTTTTTTATAGGATTAAAAAAAATAAATTATTTATAATTTTATATATTATAACTATTATCTAAAACTGTCTATTACATATATTTTACTTGCAATAAAATGACACGTGTCATGGGGGTCCAACGTTGGTAATGGGACCCACGCCAACCCGTGTTTCGGTAGGATGGGAAGTTTGGGGAATCTGAGATTGAGAGACGAGTCAGCGCAGTGCAGCGCAGCGAGGGCTGATGACGCAGCACCCAACGTCACTAACAGACGAAAAGGTCGCGTCAAACTCAAAACTGAAAAAAAAAAAAAAAAAAAAAAAAAAAAAAAAGAAAAGACGGGTGACGTTAGAAAGACCCTTCCCTCTCCTTTACCTTTACCCTTTCAGATTAAACGGCAATCAATCAGCGTCGTTTGATGACGTGGCAGACATATCGACGGTTGACAGCGACTGCTGCTTTTTTGGCTTTTTGGGGACATCATCGCCCGCGCGCGATGCGCGGGGGGAGATATGTTGTTGTCTCTGGGAATCATCATTTCCCATATTGCCCCTCATTCTCCGAAGAATCTCGAATCTCTCATACTTTTACCTGCACACTGCAATTTGTTCTGCGAATGGGACCCACTCTCTCCCCTTGGTTAATGCAATCAACCCGACAGTTGCTTTTTTAACCCCTTTACTGTTTGAAAATTTTTTTTTGGCCCATACAAGGTAAAAGAGAGCATGTATAACAAAAGACGTGAGTATTTAACATTTAGGAGATGATTGATTCATGGATTAAAATTATAAAATTAAAATTATTTTTAATTTATATGTATTTTTTATGAGAAAAAATACTGTAACGAATCATGAATCATGATTCGAATCGAGGTATGAATCTCTCAACCAAATAACCCTTTAAATTTCGAGCCGGTATACCACTAATGACTAATTAATGTGACAAGTTTCTAATTATTTTCTTTGAAAAAAATCATTCGTGTCATCTAATTTCTATTCTTATTGTCTTGAATTAGAAGAAATTCTGAAAGTGTCTACCTAATTTTATGTAAACTATTACACGTCTAACGCTGCATAGAATATTAGTCGGGCAAGACTTTCTATATCAAGATTGTCAAGATTTAAATCTAGAAACATTTTGTGCAGAGAATAAAGAAAGACACACTTATGATTACACTATTAGTGGTACACCAAGCACCAATGGGCGACCTATAAGGGTTTTCTCAGCTAGTTCTTAAGAATCAATTCTCATTGTCCAAAGTGAGATGATAATTATGTCTCTTATTAGCTTGTTGTATATGGCTTGGGCAGGATGATTTTGGACTCTCGGGTTAGGTGCTTTTCCGTTTTATGTGTGGCCCCAATAAATTGTTAAGGTGGGGATTGAGAACATAATGACACTATTTATTTCTTTTTTTATTTGAAAAATAAAAATATTAATAGCGAGTTTTTTTTTTTTTAATTATAAATTGCTAAGGTGGGTGCTGGATTGAGAACATGAGAACACTATTAATTTCTTTTTTATTTGAAAAATAAAAATATTAATAGCAAGTTTCTTTTATTGATTAATATAGTAGGGAAGAAATATCTCTCTATCTATAAGAAGAGAAGATGAGTGTAAAAAAATTATACTTCAACCTCACCAATCTATTGGTATAAACTTATTCATTTTTCACTTAGCTTATAATGGTTTAAATTTAGTTTTAGCTTATTTACCTTCTCACACCTCACACTCACAAATTACTAGCATTATCATGAAACAAATTTTGAAATGTAAATGTGATATCACAGCCAAACTATATATACCAACAATTAGTCTTATATTCTACACACACAACATTCATCTTAAATCTAATAAATCTGATTTGCACTTTTTTTTTTCAATTCAACGTTCCTTTTTTTAATAGAAATATTGTATTTTTAAATCTTTCTCATTAAAATATTTTTTTTCCAAAATTAACCTTTTAAACAAGAGAGAATGATAGCTTTGCACTGTTTTTTTTTTTTTTTTTTTTTTGTTTCACTTCTTTTTTTTTTTTTTTTTTTTTTTTTTTCACTTCAACTTTTTGATTGCCGTCTTGTATTGTTTTAAGGAAGATCTTGTGTTTTTAGATCTTTCTCATTAAAGTTTATGATCTTATTTTTAGTTTGACAAATAAGTGTCTATACATGTTCAAGTTCAACTTAAATTATAATTTAATTTAACATATTTATTTGTATATTCTCTTTTTTTTTTTGTCAATTAGAGCATCTCCAAAGGGGCTATCTAAATTTTAGTTAAAATGATTAGAAAGTTATTTTAGCTAACAATTTTTAAGTGACACACTCTAATCATACTCCATATTTTAACTAAGTATAGATTATTTTAATATTTATTGAGTTTAAAAATATAAATTATTTATTGAATTTCAAAACAACCTTTCAGGGAGTGTGACAACGTACACGCTTCCCTCTATACATGTTCAAGTTCAACTTAAATTATAATTTAATTTAACATATTTATTTGTATATTCTCATTTTTTTGTCAATTAGAGCATCTCCAAAGGGGCTATCTAAATTTTAGTTAAACTGATTAGAAAGTTATTTTAGCTAACAATTTTTAAGTGACACACTCTAATCATACTCCATATTTTAACTAAGTATAGATTATTTTAATATTTATTGAGTTTAAAAATATAAATAATTTATTGAATTTCAAAAGAACCTTTACATTTATTATAGTTTGAAACAATAAAATAATACAAAAAATCAAATAGCTTCCACTTCTTGCTAGTTATATTTAACTAGTGTGAAATAGATTATCTAAAATAACTAATCATTTAATTAATGATTGTAGTGGAAAAAAACTAAATTCTAACTAAATCATTAACTATTTTAACTAAAAGCATGGTTAGAATTGCTCATATTCAATAACCTTTAGGTTATAATCACTTGTGGGTAAATGACTACAATCCCGTTTCAAATGACTAATTAAAGGTTGGAATATTTCCAAACCAAGAAATCCTATCAAGGGGTGGGCTTTCTTCCAAAGTGCTTTAGGGAACGCAGATTGTAGACAAACAATGAAATATTAGTTTTCACAGAGCATAAAACATTTTGCAAAATGATGAAATTGGAAGCTCTTAAGACTACATTAACAAAGTAAATACCGGCCGATCAAGTACAATAACAAATGAACCATAGACTAACTTAAACTACCTCTACAAGCCTGGACTTGATAGCGCATGAAGATAATTTTTTGAACAGAAAAAAAAAATAACTGAAAAAAACTACATATCCAAAGATTTACAAAACTTCAAATGAAAGGGGAAAAAAAAACTGAAAATTCCAGCTAATGCTGGCTGCTGCCAGGTCCTCCCAGTGTTAAAACCACACCTTGAAGATCACTTCTAAGGCTTGGTTCTTTAGGCATATTTGACGAACTGGCTCTGAAGACTGGGAACGGACGGGCCACTTGATGCGGGAAGCTCTGGCCAGACCCCAAACTGGAGCTCTTCATTGGCTGCTGGAAAAGCCTGACGCGAGGTTCAAGGTGGTTCGAGTGATTCGGCAATGGTTGAGCCAAAGCCATGTGTGGATTCTGTGCTAGAATCGGACCTCTCGGGGTGGGTCGAAGTCCCTGGATGGTGGTTTCGAGTTACAAAAAGGTTAGTGTTTATCTTGAAAATTGAGACATTGAGCAAGTTTTGTAACTAGAATTGGGGAGTTTTTGAAGCTTACTGGTGCAAACAAGACTCCTCTGAATAACTTTCCATTGACTGTTGCAGTCATTAGATAACCCGAGTCAAATGCCCCGTCGACTTTACCTCGAACCTCGGCACCAATCTATGGATAAAGGCAAGCATGTCAAAATCAATTCTCATGCAAGAGTCATTACAAACGAACACAATATATAGTGCAATTTACCGCATTTTGAAGAGACCCCGCATCCAGGAACTTTTGTTCTGAGAATTGCATACTATTTCTACTGATGTTAGCACTTGGTTGAGAATGACATTCTCCTAAAAGATGAAGATCCTTTGGAGTTCTGTGGATGGCATTTATGGCCTCTTTCTGCTTACTTGAAGCATTGTGAGACTTCTTGTCATTGCTTGGAATCTCACTTAATTTCTTAAACAAATGAAATCCTTGAGAACCCGTAGCTGAATCAGCAGCTTTCTGTGTTGCTGTCTGCTCTTGATCAGATAGCGATGGAGATGAACTGTGGGAAAGTGAAAGAGAGTGCTCCTCTTGCTCTGATTCAACATCCCATGTTTTTGCAGTTGTGGTTCTCCTCCTCTTGGGATGTAAAGTATCTGAAAACATAAAAAAGCAAGTTTAAATCGCATTGTTCCTTACCAAGAGGATGAGATTTTTGTCACTTAAATCCAACCTGAATTGAATGGAAGTGGCCGCTTGCTCTCTGATTCGGGTTCATAGGCGTGCTCTCTCACTGCTGCATTATTTCCCAAAATCATGGCTTTCTGCATCCACAAATATAATAAGCTCCCTCTTTATTATATAAGTTGTATAATCATTATATAAGTTGTATAATCAACGCAAGTCTAAACTCTGCACTTTACCATGTTATTCCCTTCTCTTGAGGACCTTCTCTCTTGGTTCCAATGGTTTCCAAAGATTTTGCACATGGAAATGTTGTAACGGCCAGTGGGATGCTCGGCTCCTAACTGCAACACCAATAACTCATTGAGAGGACGCTCATCCTCCCCACACCTAAAAGTTCAAACCCACATGATAGACAAAATTATAATGGAAACTAATGTTAGGTAAGTGGCCAGGAAAACATGACATAGCATAGCGAATGAGAGTACCCGCCATAGATAGCTATATCAAGATCTGTAACAATAGCTGTATGAGAGAACCGCCCTTGCGGCTGCTGGCCTCGTATATCAAGCTGCATCCAAGAACAAGTACTTACATCTAGGATCCAAACATCATTATAGTAGTGTTTGTCTCCAACCCCTCCAATGACATAAACCTGAAAAACATAAAGATATATTGCGACATTCACTCTCAGATAATAAGCATGTCACAAGGAAGTAACTCTAGTTCTTGAACTCTGGAAAGCAAAAGGGAAAAACTTGCCTTTGTACCAATGTTCACAGCAGCATGACCTGCTCTCACACCCGGTGAAGATCCTTGAACAGACAACTGTTGAAGAAAAACATACCAGCAACCTCAGTTTCAACTTGCTGAGAATATACAAGAATTATACTAATATTCATATGCCATCCATATTTTGAGATAGTGACATAACACAGAGAAACGTTATACCCTTGACCAAGTAAGCGTGTTAATATCAAGCATATCAACATCGCCATTGTACCGGTCACCGCAGTCCCCGCCATATACAAAGAGCTTGTTTCCTATTGCAACAGCATTATGACTGTCTCTAGGGATGGGAATATCACCCTTCACTTCAGGGGAAGTCCATGTCATAGTCTTGAGATCTAGAATATGCAAATCATTCAAGTAATTTCCTTCACCTTCTCCACTGCCCCCAAATATCACTAATTTCTCCTCGCTAACAAGTGTGGCAGTGTGACTTTCACGAGGTGAAGGCGGAGTCCCGTTACACTCCGGTTGTATCCATTCTTTTGTTGCAAAATCTAGTATATGAAGATCGTTTACTTTCTTGGAGCCATTGGTGCCGCCAAATACTATCATTCTCTGGCCCACAACAACAGCACTGTGGCTGTCTCTTGGACCAGGTCCTTGACCAGTCGATACAAGAGCATTCCAAACCATTGTGTCCAGATTTAGCAGAAGAACGTCGCTGAAATGCAAACCGCCGCAACATCCCTGGAATCGGTGGACAGAACAAAGAGGTAAAAAACGTGGCATCAAAACTAAGATACTTTAGCCAAAAGGGTATGTTTAAGGCTTAACCAAATACCAAATCATATAGCACAAAGCAAAGCAGTGCATGGAGAATTTAGGAGTTTGAGAGGTTGTAGTTTAGTTATCATGTAGTGTAATGGCTTCATAAAAATTACTAAACATTGAATTGTGGAGCACCTGATGCTTGAACCAAAGTTTTACTTTCCATTTCTTTTTACCAAGCAAAATGAGGAAGAAATTTATTAATTAAGTAAAAAATACTAACAACCTTCCTCCGTAAATTTTGTTTCTCTTTGTTCCTTTAAAAGCTGAAGCGTTAAAGTCCTTAGCCTGAATTCAATAAGAATGAAAAATGCAACTAAAGTCCCAGAAAATCTTAACTTCTATCTGTGGCCTGTTTTCATACATTTTTCTAGTGAGAGAACAACAGAGAGAAAAAGATAAAAGAAATTGGAAGGATAAGAGTTTTAGCAGGGGTGTGCGATGCAAATGTCTTAAACCAAAAAAGTTCTCATATGACTTGGTTTAACTATGAAAAATAATGAGGAGAAAAAGAAAAAATAAAGTAAAAGAAAATAAATCATAATAATTTCTACCAAAAAAAAAAAGAGAAAATGAAAACATACTAAACGAGGAGAAAAGTGAGTAGACTGTCAACCAACAAATATCTGTCCTACTAATTAGACAAACGCAGAAAAATATTCTAACGAAAAAGAGAAAGAAGGAAAGAACAAAAGCCAGTGAAGAAAGTATATTTTTTCAGTAGCCAAAAATAACCGAGGACTGGATTACTAGGTTTTTTTTATGATAATAATGAAGGAAAATAATAATTAAAAAAAAATACCAACAAAAAATTCTTAATCAAATTATAAGGACAGAAGATTAAATAAGAGCACTAATGGTGATAGAAGCAGACCAACAATTAAGAGGGAACCATTCTGCATGAAATTGATCCGACTTCCAAACAAAGAAAGTTTAATAAAAGTACCACAAAACTAAGTAAAAATAAAAACCCAGAAGACAACATCATAGAAGCTCTGGATATTCATTTAGTATAATGAAACAAGAAGAAAAAAACTTGAACTTTCTTCTCTTTTTGAGAAAGTATTTACATTATTGTTACATACCCCAAAAACATAGAGAATCCCTTGAGAGTAACAAGCAGAATGACCCCATCTCTCAGAAGGATTGAATCCCATAACCTTTGGGTAGAGCCACATTGCCTTCTTCTCTGCAACTTCAACACCCAAAGACCCCATCTTTTGTTCTCTCTCTCTCTCTCTCTCTCTCTCAGCTAGCTAAGGTTTATGGCGATGTTTTTTTGATGATGATTATGATGACCAGGTGTAGGAGTGCATTACTTGAACACAGTGTTTGACAAAGATGAAGGAATAGGGAAGAGGAGGAAGAGAGATTAAGAGCATATTTGGTTGTAGGATTTATATTCTTATTTAAATTATAATTTATAATTTATTATAATATTTTTTTT